CTACAATTTTTTATTGTTAACAATGGGCGACAATAAGGGTATTGATACTACTTCTCCTTATTATTTACACCCCACATCGAACACTGATCGTATTATTTCTCCGATCGTCTTGCGTGGTGCGAATTACAGCGAATAGGCTCAATTGATCCGCAATGCCTTCAAGGCAAACAACAAACTTGGGTTTATTGATGGCTCGATTCAGCCACCCAAGTCGACTGAATCTACGATGTATAATCAATGGGTGCAGGTGAATTCTATTCTTGGGGCATGGTTAAATAACACACTTGATACATCCATTCGATCTTCTGTCCCTATTACTGATGATGTTAGGGATATGTGGGAGGATATTAGGGAACGTTTCTCGGTTGGAAACGGTCCTCGAATTCATGAATTGACGAGTCAATTAACTCATTTTGAGCAAGGAGGCGACTCGGTGGTCGATTATTATGGCAAGATACGGATGATTTGAGATGAATTGGCTAGTTATTCAGCCCCTGCTTATACTTGTGGCTGCAAGTGTGGTGCAAAGGCTACATTGGTCAAGGAACGAGAAGACCAAAAGGTTCACCAATTTTTAATCGGTCTTGACTCCTCCATACATGGTACGGTTCGATCTCAAATTCACATGCAAGAACCCCTTCCACCATTGAACACGACGTTCTCTAAAGCACTAACTGAGAAGCGTCATCATTCCATTGTTCGTCATGGTGACAAGAAGACCGAGGTCGTGGGTTTTGCGGCACAAGGTTTCTCTCGTGGACGTGGAGCACATTCTGGCAGGGAGGGTGATCGACCTCGCTACACTAGCACATGTTCTCATTGTGGCAAAGTCGGACACGACAAGGATAATTGTTTCCAAATTTTGGGATTTCCTGAATGGTGGTATTCTGAAAACAGGCAGCAGCTAGCGGTGGCGGGAAGTCTACTCGTGGTGGCAAAGGAAATGGAAAGGGCAATGCCGCTGGGAATACGGTCAATGTTGCTTGCCAATCTTCTAGTAGCACATCAGGACAACAAATTGGCAATTCAGATCACAATGGTGTTCAACTTTCGGATGCACAATGGCAGCATTTGTTGGGTATGCTAAAACCCTCCCCCTCTAGTGACACTACTCCGAAGCATGATGGTAAGTGTTGGTCCACTCAATGGATTATTGATACTGGTTGTTCGAATCATATGAGCGGGAATATTAATTTATTCAAAAGTTTGTATGATGTTTCTCCGTCGCCGGTTGGTTTACCAAATGGCAACCAAACGACAGCAATCAAGGAAGGCACAGTTGTTTTGAGTCATGATTTGATTTTGAAGGATGTGTTATATGTTCCAGATTTGAATGTTAATCTTATTTCTGTTCACAATTGCTTGCTAGATTGAATTATTATATCACAATAACTGATAAGCTATGTATCATACAGGACCGCAATTTGAGGACCCTGATTGGAACAGGTGAACAATGTGACGGACTATATTGGTTCAAGCCGAAGAAGCGGATTCAAGCTAATCAAGCTACTGTGGTTATTGGGCAGCGAGAATTGTGGCATCCTCGTCTTGGTCATCCTTCTCGAAAAGTTGTGTCTCTTTTGCCTTTTATTTGTCAAAATAAAGCTCACAGTGAGAGCACTGATTTTTGTGATTCTAAGGATCCATGTGGTATTTGTCTAATATCTCATCAAACTAGAAGTGTTTTTCCGATTACTGAAAATAAAACAGTTGATTTATTTGAAATGATTCATTGTGATATTTGGGGTGATTACAAAGTTGCTTCTAGTTGTGGTGCTTATTATTTTCTCACAATTGTTGATGACTTTTCGAGAGCCGTTTGGGTGTATTTGATGAGTGCTAAGAGTGAGGTTAGACAAATAATCAAAGATTTTTGTTCTATGGTTCAAACTCAATTTAATAAACGAGTTAAAATTTTTAGGAGTGACAACGGGCATGAATTTACTTGTTTACGTCGTTTTTATGCTGAAAATGGAATGTTACATCAAACATCATGTGTTGACACACCTCAACAAAACGGTAGGGTAGAACGTAAGCATCAACATTTACTTAATGTGGCTCGGGCACTTCGTTTTCAAGCTAATCTACCTTTGACTTTTTGGGGTGAATGTGTTTTGACGGCTGCTTATGTGATCAATAGAACTCCTTCTCTTGTCTTGAATGGAAAGTCCCCGTATGAGGTGTTGTTTGGAAAATCTCCAAATTACTCAGCTCTCTCATACGTGTCTTTGGTAGTTTGCGTTATGCTCATTATCGTCCAAGGGTAAAGGATAAATTTGGTCCTCGCTCTCGAAAATGCATCTTTGTGGGTTATCCATTTGGTCAAAAGGGTTGGAGACTTTATAACTTAGAGAGAAAGGTTTACTTACTGTCTTGTGATATTATTTTTGTGGAAAATAATTTTCCTTTTGACAACATGGATAAACCTGTGAAAATTGATGGGGTTGACATTAATGATTTATTTCACCGACAATCACATATTATTGATGATGGGAATTATGGGGATATTGTAGCTAGGGGGAGTCATGAGAAGGAATACAATGCAAGGGCCCATGAGGATTTGGATGTTGCTGCTCCCCTAGACAACCAGCAGCCTCCACGGCCTGGTCGTGGCATAGATGCTCCAGCCACGGCCACCCCGTGGCCTGCTCAACAACAGCTTGCAATGGAGCAGCAAGCATCGCAACTTGGGTCTGGAGATAAGGAGTCTGCCACAGCTCACTTGCAGCAATCTCACGCCAATATAGAACCCTTGCAGCAACCCCACAACAACCCACAATCTTCTAATGAAGCTCCTCTTGGTAAAGGGCATCGTATCCGAACTCCATCAACAAGATTAAGAGGTTTCGTCACCAACACTGTTCAAACAAATACTCCCGTCACTGTCACTAGTTCATCTCCTCCAAAGCGCTCCTAGGGTACACTTTATCCTATAGCTTATTTTGTTAACTATGATAAATTCTCTATGAAACATAGGAAATTTTTGGCGGCGGTGACTACTTGGGTTGAACCAAAATCTTATTCCGAATCGGTTAAACATCCGGGTTGGTGTAAGGCCATGAAAGAAGAACTTGATGCTCTTGAACGACAAGGAATATGGACGTTGGAATCTTTGCCTCCGGGAAAGGTCGCTCTTGGTAGCATATGGGTGTATAAGGCTAAGCTTAAGCAAGATGGGTCTCTTGAGCAATTGAAGGGGAGACTTGTTGTTTTTGGCAATAGACAATTACCTGGCATTGACTTTAATGAAACTTTTTCACCTGTAGCAAAAATGGTGATAGTTCGCATGTTTTTAGCGGTTGCTATTGCTCGAAATTGGGAGCTTCATCAAATGGATGTGCACAACGCCTTTCTTCATGGAGACTTGGAGGAGGAGGTATATATGAAACTTCCCCCTGGATATGCACCTTTGGGTTCGGCGGGTAAGGTTTGTCGTCTTCGAAAGGCTTTGTATGGCCTTAGGCAAGCACCACGTCAATGGTTTGCCAAACTATCTTCCGCCTTGAAATTGTTTGGGTTTAAGCAATCAACTGCAAATTACTCACTGTTTTACTACACTAAGGGAGATGTGTCATTATGTGTTCAAGTATATGTGGATGATTTAATCATTGCAGGTTCGGGTCATGATGTGATACTAAAGTTTAAGACATATTTGCGTGATTGTTTTCATATGAAGGATCTAGGGGTCCTTAAGTACTTTCTTGGCATTGAGGTGGCTCGTGGTCATAATGGCTTGTTTTTAAGTCAAAGAAAGTATGTCCTGGATATTATAAGTGAGGCCGGCCTATTAGGGTCTAAGCCTATATCTACTCAGATGGAGCAAAATCATCAATTAGCTCGTGTTGAGGGGGAGTTATTTTCAGAACCTGAGAAGTATCAACGCCTTGTTGGGAGGTTAGTCTACTTGACTATTACTCGACCTGAGCTATCCTATTCAGTGCATGTGTTGGCTCAATTCATGTCTTCTCCCTTGATAGCCCACTGGGAGGCAGCTCTTTGTGTCCTTAGATATCTCAAAGGGTGTCCCGGCCAAGGAATTTTACTACGTCATGAGTGCAATTTATAGATATATGGTTTTTGTGATAGTGATTGGGCAAGTTGTCCTATGACACGACGATCTTTAACTGGGTATTTTGTGCTTCTTGGGTCTTCTCCGGTACGTCTCTTGGAAGACAAAGAAGCAACCTACAGTTTCTAAATCTTCCGCTGAAGCAGAATATCGTTCAATGGCTACGACTACTTGTGAATTAAAATGGTTGAAGTATATTTTATTTTGCCTTGGTGTACGACATGATCGACCTATGCGATTGTATTGTGATAGTCAGGCGGCATTACATATTGCAGCAAATCCAGTATTCCGTGAACGTACGAAGCACATTGAGGTGGATTGTCACTTTGTTCATGATTAGCTTAAGGTTGGTGATATTGCTACGTCCTACATACAAACGACTAATCAATTAGCGGACATTTTTACGAAGGCTCTTGGGAAATCACAATTTTTAGTACTTCTTCGCAAGTTGGGCATTCGAGATCTTCATGCTCCAACGAACTTGAGGGGGAGTATTAGGCATATTATTGATGTATATCTTTTGTATATATTTAGGCTTGTATAGCTGTCTTTCCTTAGTTAGTTTTAACCTAATATGCATGTATATATTAGAGGGGCCGCAAGGTATCACTCAAAAAATAAAGAAGAGAACAAACTCTCATTCCTTCATTCTTGATTCTAGCATATATAGAGTGTGGAAGTATTGCGCGGTTGATTCTTTTTTATTATACTTCGTAGTAACAATTGACGTAAATGTACATAAGTAAATTTATACTTTGTAATGATTTTGTTACGTAATTGCACCTAGCAATCAATTTTAATTTCGTCTTCTTAACGCTATGTTGTTATGTAGTTATACTTTGATAAATTACTCATATAATATATACGTGCACAAATTCATCAATCCTCGCTCGTCCAACATGTATTACTTGGTCATTAATCTGCAATACAGTGGATGATCAGCTAATTTTAATTTTAGTTGGTTAAAGCCTTAAAAGATGATACACAAGACATAAGATCAAATCTCGTCTATATCAGCTCTCTATCCTCGAAAATTTTGACTGCAAACATCAAATACTTTGTATAAGCTTGTGCCAAGTTTAAAAACTGAAAATAAACTTGTCCTACTAGAACCATTTGTGTATGTAATGTCAAACCCCACAAATTTGCTTCATGTAATAAGAGATCTCCTCGCACAAAAATCACCAAGAAATGCCCTTCTTCTCTATTCCCAATTTCGACGCCAAAATGTATGCAATTTAGATGTAATCCCTTTAATTTTTAAGGCATGTTCTTGTTTATCCTTGAAAAACCATGGGAAATCTTTACATGCTGAATCAGTAAAGTATGGAGTAGATTGTGATGTTATGGTTGGAACTTCATTGTTGGGTATGTACTCAAAATGTGGGGAAATAGTTGATGCACGTAAGGTGTTTGATAATATGCCTCAGAGAAATGTGATCACTTGGAATGCAATGATAGCTGGGTACTTGATTGGTGGGGATACTACAACTGCATTGTCATTGTTTGAAGCTATGCCGGAGAGGACAGTTGTTACATGGAATGAAATGATTCGTGGGTTCGCGGTGATTGGGGATACGACGATGGCTAGGGAGTTGTTTGATCAGGTGAATGTAGAGATGAGGACTGTTGTTACTTGGACTATAATGGTTGATGGGTATGCTAGGAATGGGATGATGGAGGCTGCAAGAGAAGTTTTTGAGGTTATGCCGAAAAGAAACTGTTTTGTTTGGTCAGTGATGATAAATGGGTATTGTAAGATAGGTGAAGTTGAGGAGGCTAAGGCCGTATTTTATAGAACTCCTGTTAGGAATCTGGTGATTTGGAATTCATTAGTATCTGGGTTGGCACGAAATGGATTTTGTGAAGACGCGATTGATGCATACCGTGAAATGCAAGTGGATGGGTTTGAGCCTGATGAAGTGACTGTAACAAGTGTTTTATCTGCTTGTTCGCAGTTAGGTTGTTTGGATGTCGGTAAAGAGGTCCATTCGAGTATCTGTGAGAACGGGATTAAGTTTAATCAGTTTGTTCTTAATGGTTTGGTGGACATGTATGCAAAATGTGGAGATTTGAATACTGCAAGGTCGATTTTTGAAGGGATGCGTCAAAGGAATGGGACTTGTTGGAATTCTATGATCACCGGGTTTGCTATTCATGGATTATGTCAGGAGGCTGTTGAATTCTTTTATCAGATGGAAACTGAAAGTGTTAAGCCAGATGAGATATCTTTTCTTTCTGTTCTTTCAGCTTGTGCTCATGGAGGACTGGTGCAAGAAGGTTTAAACATATTCTCGAAGATGGAAAAGTACAGAGTAAAAGCAGGTGTTAAGCACTATGGTTGCATTATCGATCTGCTGGGAAGAAGGGGGAGGTTAAAAGAAGCATTTGATCTGGTTAAGAGCATGCCGATGAGACCAAATGATACAATTTGGGGAACTCTACTAGGAGCTTGTCGAGTGCATTCAGAGGGCACTTTGGCTGAGGAGGCACTCGAAGATATTATTCACATGGATTCTAGAAACAGTTCACATTATGTTCTCCTATCCAATATTTATGCTGATTCAGATCTATGGGATAAGGCCGAGAAAATAAGGACAGACATGATTGACAAAGGAATAGAAAAGATTTCTGCATCTAGTTCATGCATGTTTGGCAGTAGAAACAGCAACTTTTAACTTGCGAGTCCTGTCATCTGTCTATAAGACTATAATACATTAATTATAGGGGCAAAAATGATCTTTCTATCAAATTTCTGAAGGATAAATACAGCTTTTGCAACTGAGTAGTTGATCGTTGTTCACCTTGATACAATCAAGGAACTGCTTGTCAGATGATGCCAATGATCCAAACATTCTGCACTTGAGAGGGTCCTTACAAGGTCTAAACTTGTGAGTTGTGACTTGACTTTGTATGTCTATTTTACAATATGTTTAGCTGACTGCAAGTTTGCACAATAATAAAGCAAGATTGCTCTCCTATTCTTGGACTTCTTGGATTAGCCATTAGTCAATTCAAACAACACGGAAAGATTCAGCGATTTGTTTCAGATCCTGGTAATGCCTCTTCCATTGGAGACCTGTAAAAATGGCAGAAACATATGGAGTTAGAATGTATAGCTGCACTCTAAAAAATACAGAGTATGGAATTAGAATGTATAGCTGCTCCCTACCACTTCCAGTAACACAGAATAGATAGAGCCGATTTCCAGCTGCAGTAGCTGTGATAAATATGTGAGGTGGCTCCAATTCAAACTGGTAATATCTTCTTCCTGAATGCTCCGCCACATTCGTGCTTAACACTCTACCTTCTACATTCTCTCCTATTACTTCTGGTCCAAAGGCACTAATCACCTTCTCAGGTGTTCCAATTTCTTCAATTGTAGTATTGTCCCCAAGTTCTATGCACATAAAGTAGCCACATTGAATCATGTTACTCATATAAAGTGTATGAATTCTTAAAACCGACACATACTCATTAATACCAACATATAGATGCAAAGCTAATTAGCCAGAAATCAGTTGTTTTTTTTTTTTTTTTTTTTTGAGGAAAATCAGTTGGGTTTTTTTAGTTTTCAGCCAAAGTTTTATTCTGGTTATGCTGATAATTTACAAGAACAATGCCATTGTGCCAGGGTACTTACCGTCTGCAAATCTACGGACTGGAGCAACAACGACAAACAAGCGGCCTTGCTTGGGGCTTGCAAATCTAAGATCAATTTCTGTGCCACCTAGATCTGCAATAGAGACAGGAACCTGCAATATTGGATCATGAAACAACTTCAGGAGAGCTAGTCTTCATGTTTTTTTGAGAATAGTTTGTGTAGATACAGTTGTGTTAAATGTCTAAGTTACAGTCAAAACAAGCAAAGTCCTCGTGAAACTGGTTGAATTTCTTTACCTCATCCCAATCTCCAGGGACTTTGAAAAGGTAAGGTATTATTGGACTCCATCCAACACCGTGGCCTCCAGACTTTTCATCTGGTCTCTGGTATGTTCTCCAACCTGTCTGAGCGTTATATGACTTATTAGCATCTTATGAACAAGCCATAAATCAAAGGGATGACAGAGGGGAATGAAATAGCTCGGGAGTTAGGAATTATAGAAATTATGTTGTTTTTGGTTAATGTGAATATGAAACCAATTCTATCACAATGAAGAGTTTGAAAGGTTGCACTGTCTTAAATTGAGAACTTAAAGATTTTACCTTTCTTCTTAATGTCCATAGTCTATAGTATTACTTTAAACAAGGTTAGAATTATTATAGTAGAGTTACTAAGGGGGCTTTTGGTTCTCTGTTCTCACAGTGGTATAAGTTTGGAATTAGGAATGAAATCTAGGTGGTATGAGGTTGGAACTTAATACTTAATATCATCTGTTTGGTTTTGCTTAGAATGAACAATTTTCTTTTATTTGATACCCGAAGACATGGTATGAACCATGCTCACCTCCCCTCTTGGGCTTTTAAGCCCCATAACTCGTGGGTTTGAGGTATGGGTTTGAAAATTGTAATTTTTTTAAACAAACACGAGGTATGGGTTTTACACTTTTACCCATCATAAACCCATATCTCATACCTAAATTACTTGAACCAAACGCCCCTTAAAGAGTTTTTTAGACACATGAATCATGTAAGTGATATGAACACTAACTTAGTGACTTTTCAATAACATTATCTTCAAGGGCCAGAATATGTATTGTCTTCTCTGCTGCAAAGAGTTTGTTTTGCTTCAGCAGCCGGGTACACCCCTTAGGAAGCCCACTTACAAGCTACAAGCTTAAACTAGGAGAAGAGATATAGCTTTATTATACCTGCATTACTAAGCTAGACACTCTTTTTTGCATATGCAGGGTATTCATTGTTCATTGGTTTAATGTCACAAATCTGCAAAAACATGCCCCACATCATAGTCTTTGGATCCCACAGAAGGCCCTTAGAGTTCAATGGGAAACTTGATCTTCAAACTAACAAACTTTTGCAGTCACCAAAAGCAGTGCATGACCAGTATATACTCAAGTGCCTACATGATCACTTCATGGACCTGATTTTCTTTCGTTCAATGTACTCGACTGGTCATCCTAGAGTCGTTAACTATAAATAAAAAGGCCAAGAATTGATCATTTTGGTTGTGAAATGTCTGACTTTCTCCAGTGACTTCTAATATGTGAATGTGGCTAATTGAAAGACAATTCTTCTGTATTGCAGTCTTGTCAGTTTTTTAAAATCTAGAAATTGAGCATGTTGAAGAGCTGACTTTGGTGCACATGATTGATGATGGTGATGTTGGGGACCGAGGAGAGCAATTTATAAGTTGAAATTGATGAGCATCTCAAAATTGGAGATACCTCCTAGGGGCCTTGACTGTTTCACAGAGTTGCAGCACTTCAAGAGTTATCTATTTATTTTCTTTATAATTGGAGATCTCTGCCAAAATGCATTGGTTGACCTACCCAACTTTGTGAGCTTGTCATTTGGTATTGGCCCAGTCTAAAAATACTTCTTGAAATACTTGGTAGCTTCTCCAATTTACATTATTTTGAGATAGGAAAATGTCCAAAGGTATCGACGTATGGAGAATCTTGCCACATATGTCAATTATTCGGTTCAACCCTGATTTCAACTGAGGTAAATTATCCCTAACTTAATAACTAATCTTCTGTTAGATCCTTTGTGGAAGCTCTAAAACTTATTTTTCCTTTCTTTTTTTGTATTAATATTCCAGGACTGTAACTTCCTTTTATTCATCACATTAACTAAAGCTTCTCTTGGGTGACGGTTACATTTATGCAAACTTCTGTTGTTCAAGGTTCCTTTTACCTATCAATTTATGCTTTTGTGTTATTGAAGCAAACTCAGAAGCAGAGCCTGCCTTGTCTGATATATCATATTAGGTAATAAGCTTTCAACTGCTATTATGCTTGATATTTATTGTATGCTTATCCCCAATAAAATTATGTTTGCAAGACCTAAATATTCAATCACTGGTATGCTTAGTGATTGAACTTTGAAGCCAGGGCAGTATGCAGATACCCTATGCTCATTTCCTATCCTGAAACTTTTCTACTCATTAATGAGGCTATGAAAATGAGATTGATCATAAGGTTATAGTTATCTTATTTTAGGTCTTTTTTTCAATATCAGTCTACTGATACCTCATCTGAAAGAATGCATCTCATAAATTATCAGGAAACCAGCTTTTGTTCACGTTATGTAGACACTTAGAGAATACACTGATTATGCACTTCTGTTCACATTTTCCCATAAGAAAAATTCCCCAATTAGATGTCAGATGATGAACAGTAGAATATATGTTTCTCAATTTTATTTTATTTAAAAAAAAAAAAAGAAAAAAACAGAAAGAGCAAAAGCAATATGAAATGAAGTCTAAAAATCCATGATAAGTAATTTAACCTTCTTCATTTGGCTCGGACAATCCAGGTACTCTGCCAGCAAGAGGCCCTTGTTTAACGACAGCCGAACCCGGTGCTGGAAATCCTAGAGCTGTTAGAGAAGCAAGCAGAGGAACAACCCCAGATTTCAGAACTAGTGATCTTCTCTTCAATATTCCTGAAGGAAACTTCTCATGATCAGCTCTGTCACTGTCTGATGTTTCTGCTGGAGTAACTAATGACTGAACAAACTCATTACGGATTCGTCGATTCTGATTTCGATTATGTTTTGGCAGATATATTTTCCAGGCTAAACAAGAAAAGCTGCTGCACAGAGTTGATACCATCTTTTCCTCTAGTTGTATTACAGGAATAGGTAGCAAGAACTCAGAAGAATTATGTACAGTTTTGTGAATTATGCTTGTAATGGCAGATATATGGTGTTAATACTCTAGTGTTATCTGGAAAATTTGTGTGTTATGGTTTTTAAATGGAGAATTCTGTTGAAAATTGAAGTGTTCTTATTTCTTATTGGTTATGTGTAGTCTGTGTACCTGATTGTTGTGAACATAGGGATAGAAAGTTGAGCGAACAAAACCCAAGTCTTATATTCCAACGTTGCTGACCTGACACGTGGAATATCAGGATTATTGTTGCTCTTCATACTATATCTAATCTTCCTTTCTAGAAAATCTCACCGATCATTATTACTAGCCCATTCATCTCATAACATAGCTCAAAATAGGATCCGATTAGAGCGTCTTCAATGGTAAACTAACTTTTAAAAAAGTTTGTCATGTCACATATGATTTCAAGCTAGACTCCATTGTACTTCCTCTAGTGTTTTTTTTTAAAGCTACACTTGAGTTTGCATATGCCGAGGCAAAACTTTAACCATCAATATATTTAATAAAAGATTAGTAAAAAATATAAAAAATTAATATATACAAGTAGACATTATGACAAATCCAACAACATATTATATGATCATCTTTATATATTATATATTAGTAAAAAAAATTAAGTCAAGGATGGCATATGAATAGTGTAAAATCTTAAGTGTAACTTTTAAAAAAAACGGAAGGAGTAGCTATTTTGTGCCCCAATTTCTTTATGCAATGTGGTATAAATTGGTTTTGAAAGTGTTGGCCAATCGTCTGAAAATTTATCTTGACAAGATTATTTGTGTAAATCAAAGTGCCTTCACTTTTGGCAGAGTGATTACTGATAATATCTTTGTTGCTTTCGAGTTATTTCACTATATGAAAAATTTGCTGAATAAGGGTGGATGCATGGTTATGAAGTTAGATATGTCAAAAGCATACGATAGAATTGAGTGGGATTTTTTGGAGGTTGTTCTTGATAAATTCGGTTTTGCTCAAAATTGGTATAGTAGTGTTATGGACTGTGTGAGATCGGTTACGTTCTCTGTGCTTGTTAATGGCCGGCCTACTGATGAGTTTTCTCCTAGGAGAGGTTTTCGACAGGGAGACCCGATCTCTCCATACTTGTTTATCTTGTGTGTAGAGGTTTTTTCTCATCTTCTTAGAGAGGCGGAGGAGTGGGGTAGCCTTCGGGGTGTTCGTATTGCTCCGTCGGCCCCTTCTATTAGCCACTTATTGTTTGCAGATGATTGTATTATTTTTTCTAGAGCAGCTGTGAATGATGCGGAGGTGATTCAGGACATTCTTAATACTTATGAGCTGTTGTTAGGTCAAAAAATTAATTTTGACAAAACGACTATTTCTTTTAGCAAAGGGGTGTTGAAATCAAGATGGACTGAGTTGGCGGGTAAGCTTGGCGTACGCATTGTGAGTATTCATGATCGCTATTTGGGTTTGCCTACGGTGGTTGGGAGGTCTAAGAAGGTGATTACGAGGGCAGTTAAGGAGAAACTTTGGAAGAAGCTCCAAGGTTGGAAGGGGAAGGTGCTTTTCAAGGCGGGTAGGGAGGTTATGGTAAAGGTGGTAGCACAATCTCTCCCTACCTACGCGATGAGTGTCTTTAAGTTTCCATCGTCTTTCTGTGATGAGTTACGGTCTTTGGTGGCTCAGTTTTGGTGGGGTAAAAAACAAGGGGAACGTAAGATTCATTAGCTTGCTTGGAAGAAGTTATGTAAACCCAAGAATGAAGGTGGCTTGGGGTTTCGGGACTTCAAGTTGTTTAATTAGGCGTTGTTGGGAAAGCAAGCTTGGAGATTGTTGTTGAAATCGGGTAGTTTATTAGAGCAAGTGCTTAAAGGTCGATACTATCCTAATTCTTCGTTCTTGGAGGCTGACATTGGCATTAACCCAAGCTATACTTGGAGGGGCATTGCGAAGGCTAGGTGGGTGAATTCGTCGGGGAATGCAGTGGAGAGTTGGGAATGGTGAGTCTATTTGGGTTTGGGGGGACCCGTGGTACCTAGTACTCAGTCCCGTTTGATTATTTCCCCAAGAGCTGAAGGTAATGCTGATATGCGAGTGAGTGAGTTGTTGTTGCCTGCTGGTGTTGGCTGGAATTATGAGAAATTGCACCAATTTTTTCTGCCTTTCGAATGTGACCGGATTGCAAGCATTCCCTTGAGCTCTAGGCTGCCTAGTGATAATATATGCTAGGACTTAGAGAAATGTGGGGATTATTCTGTCAAGTCAGCTTACAAGGCCATGTTTGATGATGATTGGAAGCGTGAGGAGGAGGCTCCTTTAATACCCCGTATTTTTATACGTATTATAATTTAAATTGGTATTTCTTTAAATATTTAAATAATTCGAAATGAATTATTCATGGTGTTTCGTTAATTTAAAAATAATTATTTTAATTAAAAGTTTTTTTTTATTCTTTAACAATCTTGAAAATATTTTATTTCATGATTGGGAAACTTTGGGGCATATTATTTTATAAAAGGAAATATCATTCAACCCTTCCTCTCCGCCTCTCCTCTTATTCTCTTCCTCCTCAAAAACCCTAAAAAAAAAAAATCTTGTTTCTAGGGGCTACCACCAACCTTTTGGTTGATGGTAAGCCCCTAATCTCTTAGTTTCTTACTAGTTTTTTACTTTATGCTCACAATAATTGTAGTCTCTCTATTTGAGAGTTTTTCTATCTTTATATCGGGTTACTTCTACCCGTATATCGGGTTAATTTTTCTCTCTTTTTGAGAGTTTTGGGGCTATGTTCTTTAATTTCGTACGAAAAATTGATTTGTTGATGAGGAGTTGTGCTATGTTGCCATGGAGGTTAATTCTACATCTACAACCAATTGTATCGAATGGTGTTCGATTCCAAAGCTACAATAGATCGAAAGACCCCCTCGTGAAAAGCTGTATCAAACAGCAGTGTGAAAGAGAGCATTTAGAAATGTCAGATCTAGATAACAACGATCGTAGTTTTGTCAAATTAGAATATTATTTGATTCAGTTTGTATTGTATTTGCTAGTTTTGATTTATATTGTAGATGTCGTATGACTTTTCCATTAATGAATTAACTTTCTTTTCAAAAAAAAAAAATTATAAAAGGAAATTTTAAAGTCAATGGTATTTAAGGAAAGTCAAAATGTTAGTTTGAATAGGAAAGAGATCATTAAGGGTAAAAAGGGAATTTAAGTTTATGAGGGTTTTAGAAAGGGAGTATAAATACCCATCACATGGGCAAATTAAACTTTGCCTAAGGTGGAGAATACCCAAGGCACCACTCTCTTTCTCTCTCTTATTTTCTCTTATTTTTCCCCTTCCCCTTTCTTTTTATTCTACACACCCACACATACACGTGGCCGGTCGGCCACCATCGCAACCACCACCAGCCGGTCACCGCAGCCACCAGCGAACACGCCAGCAGCCGCGGCGATACCGGCGGGCGCGGCAACAGCCCAGCCGTGTGTCGTGGCTCTACGGTGTTTAAACAAAAATAAAATCTCTTTTGTTTTTAATCCTAATCTAGCCTTTATTTAATTATTGGTTTTGGATTTTGTGATGATTTTTATGATGTTTGATAATAAGTATTTTGTATATAAATTTTAAGATTTAGTTTTGAATTAAAAAGCCCAAAATTATAAACCCTAGGTTTCTAAGTTTATGTATATTGATGGAAATTGTTTATGGGTGATTTAAATTATTGAAATAAGTGTTTTAAAACACAATTACATCAATTTTAAATGATTTAATAAAGCTGGAATTTTTATATATAAGCTGTAATTATGTTTCTTGAAAGGATTTTTAATTACCCATTAATTGGGAATAAAAGTAAGGGTTTTAAATTAAATTTTAGCTTGTTTTAGAGGGTTTATGAGTGATTTAAAGAGTGTATATATTGCTGGAAATTTGTGTGGAATAGCCGAATAGGTATTAATTTCTCTTTGTAATTTTGGTTTGTAGGAGATTTCCAGGTGAGTGATTGTAATACCCCAAATTTTTGAGTATATTTAATCAACGATTTTTCTAGTATTGAGTTTTAAATTTATAGTTATTTTTCAAATAATATATCTTTTAAAAAAAAATTCTATCCTTTGCCGTGAGATTTGTAAACAAAGTGAAATTTATTTCTTCTGGCAACTTTTTATTTCATACTCCAATATCCATCATATGTCCATTAGTTTAATTTATATGAGAAAAATATATAAGTATTATTATTTTCAGATTTAAAAAAAAAAAAAAAAAAAAAAAAAAAAAAAAAAAAAAAAAAAAACTGATTTTGGGATAATCCAGGAACAAATTATTTGAAAGCTATTTTATCTAAAATTTGAATGTTTGACCTTATCATAGTTAGTTTCTTGAATCTATCACAAACCTCAATCTCACCCAATTCCCACATTATATAATTGCTGGCCGTGAGTTTATCTCCATTCTCCATTGATCAATAGGTATGAGAGCTCAAAAAAAAAAAAAAAAAAAAAAAAAAAAAAAGAGAACTACTGTTCTTCTTCCACCCTTTATCTCCATTGATCAATAGGTATGAGAGCTCAAATAGCTCATAATCTCTTCTTTATCTAGATGACTTTAACTAGTCAATCAAGCTTTAATTTTCGGCTAGTAGTCTTTAATTAACACCTTTCATTGCTAAACCCGTAACTCCGTCGACGAACCCGACGATTTGGCACTCAAATTGAATCTTGTTCTTGTCTCCATCTTAGACCACCATAGCTACCACTTGCCGTCAACACCGTTTCCGTATTAGCACACCTTCTTCTGAAATAGCCAAATTCACCAAACTGCTCTTAGTATATACCCTTTTTCCTTGAAAAAAAAAATAAAAATACAACACATAAGTGAGAAATGATAAAGGGGCGAAGGGAGGAAGAAGGTTAACATACCTGAAGCTGGTTGCAACCCGTAGAATGGTGGTGGAGTTTCTTAGGAGCACTGACTCCTTACCCTTTTAGTGGACTTTAATAGGAAAAGCATTACTGATTTTCCTTTACGATTTCGTTTCTATTTTTTTTTTTATGTTTTTCTTTTGTTACAAAAATAAAAAAAAGTGTTTTCTTTCGTACTACTTATGTAAACGAGTTGGAGGCATAGCGTATGGTATTACTGACTTAGTATTATTATCTGTTTATTTGTAGACGGAGGCCTACTAGGTGAACGTTTTGGAGGTTATTTACCTTGAGATTTACGCACAATTCAAGGTAATTTTCAATGTCCACCGTGTTTAGAGTCCCGTTAGGAATCGTTTTAAATTTATTGTGTGCCAACTATGTGCTTACATAATTATACGTGATGGATGTGTTACCGTATGATATTCTGGAATTATATTATATACTAGTTTTCTATAATTGTGTACTAGTATAATATTTTCAAAAATTTGATTATTTGGTATCGTATGAGTTTTATATAATTAAAATCTTGGGAATTGGATGATTGATTATATGTGATTGATGGTCTCCAAGACTTATTGAGAAACGAGTTGTAACTAGTATGTCTTGTAAAATGACTCTGTTTTAAAAATATTGAAGCTAAAATATTGTTACTTGAGATTAAATTGATTTTGTGCAATACTCGTGTGCAATGTGATCAGACAATTCAATCTAGTAAGATGTACATTAAATTAAGAAGGGAAATGAAACCCGAAAGGGTGAAGAACAGGTTGCCCACTAGTGGTTATGGTTGCTACTAGTTGGTTTAAATTGGCGTATATTGCTGTTTAGTCTTCCTCCTAATCAATGGGTATTAGTGAGGGGTGTGCACACTAGGGACATTCTGTTTAATTTATGGCCATTTGGGGTTACGCGTGACCCTCTGTGAAGTAGGTGGTGACTGGGACTAGTCCCGGCTTACTGGCATTCTCTTCCCCTTTCTTAATTAAAGTAATAAATTTTATGTGACAACTTGATTTTTTTTTTCTTTACTTATTATTATGGTGTCGATAAAAGTGTGTTGGGTAAAATGTTTTCGAACTAAAATTATTATTTTACGGGATGGAGTTGGAATTACTCAGTTTATCTGATTTTGGGAGTTTTCTCTCTTTTTTTGTTTCTGATTTATTTTTCAGGTTGGTTAAAGGGTACTCGGTTACGTGTGAGGAGACGTTAGAATAATCACGTAACTAAGACCTTTTTTTTTTTGTTAACTCTGAACTTAGTTATTTTCCTTTCATTTAATGTTTTAAAATGTTTTACAGTTTGGATGTAACGACTATTTTATTCTTGTCGCCACTTAGATCACTTAGTTATAAATGGTATTTCGTTTTGCTTTGCATTTATTTTCTATGGAAAATAAGTGTAGTAGTAACACTCTCAAGGTTCGATGGTCAGTTTTGAAAGAAAAGGGTTATTCTTATTGTTTACAATGACCCGAATTTTGGGGGTGTTACAGTGATGTTATTTAGTCGTGGCGATTTTGAGATCATATTCAAGGTACGACGTTTGCGTACTTGGTAATTATTTGAATATGTAGAAGCATTCTAGGCTTTGTTTAATTAATTCCAAGTAGTATCATGACATGTGTTGGTTGGAATTTGTTGTATGATTGATGTTGGTAAATGATTTGTGATGTATGAATTATTTATGAAGAATTGGTGATTGGAATTAATTATATTGGCATGTTGATTATGAACCACATTTTTATTATTATCATGATGGAAGGCATGTTTAATTAAACTAAATGTTTAATTTGGTTTAAAATATGAAAAGGAAATTTTATTATGGTTTATATAATTTTTATTGATGCTATAAGCACGAGGAAGGAGTTATTTAAGTGTTTATGTACACGAGGATTAAATTATATTTTTGGTGCTTAAGTGCACTTAAGGTGTTCTAAACACCGAGGGATAGGATTTGTGGTGCTTTATGCGCTTAAGGTATTATTTAACACCGAGGTAGTTTAAAAAGGGTTCAACATTAAATTTATGTGGTCACTAATTATTCAAGAATTAAATTGGTATGTTTGATTTCTTGAATGAATTATAATGTTTGATTGTATTATGGTTTGAGAGTCATCACCAAGTATAATAATATGTAAAGCAACGTAAAGTGAAAGAGGTTACGCACCAAAACTCTTGGAACGTATATACCTTGAGTATAAACATATGGGGGGAGTTATGCGACTTTATTTTTTACCATAACTTTTACTGAGAGTATATGACGCTGTATATTCCTTTTTATTATGCGCAGGGATTCCGCCACTTACGAGTGGTTCTTTTATACTAGCGTGGTTAGCTCCCGTGTTAGTACCCCTTTATTGGGGTAGGTTAGGGGGAAACCTGTTCGATGCGTAATCAAATTAAATGGACATTGGTATTTGTCTAGTTAAGTGTTGAATGTCTTGTATACTTGTTTACAGGTGTAACAAGGTAAGTTATGTGATGATAGGATGAAAGCATGTAGTGTGTTTTATTACGCTTATGTACTCAGCATTACTGATTATGTGTTATATGTTTGTTTTACCTTGGCCCTACGACGACCCATTTCTAATGGCGAGTAATGGGGACAAGTAGAGAGAAGTTTTTCAGGTGTTGAAGCATTTTCATGATGGACATGAGTGAATAGCGAATCATGCTTAGTTTCCATAGGAATATGATGTGTTTTATTTGCTTTGAATATTATTTATTTATTATGCTTATAAGACTAACACAAAGGGTTTTCAGTATTGTTTGGTTTTAAGGGCCTACAATGGTTCCAAGCTGTAGGTTGACTTTGTTAGACTTTGTTTGATTTTACTTTCGTTTGGTTTGACTTTTAAGTTGACTTGTTTTGAATGGTTTTAAAGAAAGTCTTCCGCTGTGTGTCTTTGATATTTGTCTTAGCCGTTTTCACGGTGGCGGTAATATCTTAGATTTTCCTATTTCGTATTTTAAAAAGGGCAAAATAGGTATTTTAAAGGAAAGAAATTTCTAGGGTGTTACAGCTCCGTCAGCTGCTGCTCACTCCATTTGGAAAAGAATCTGGCAGCTCCAAGTTCTCCCTCGTGTCAAAATTTTTGCTTAGAGGGCTTGCCAAAATGTGCTTCCTACTCGCCGCAACATAAGTTACCGTATTAGTGGCTATGAATCGGACTGTTGTATCTGTGAGAAGGAATTTGAGATAACTATACATGCCCTTAGAGATTACAGCTTGGCTCGTGATGTTTGGAGTCAGAGTCGTTTTGCACACGTTGCTCATTCAAGGACTAGCAGCATATTAGAATGGTGGGAAGGTTGTTTGGCTGAATTTGATGATTTTGATGCTGCGAGTATCATTACAACTTGCTGGGCTATATGGGGTGCTCAAAACTCTTGGGTTATGGAAGAGTGGTGCGAATTCCAAACAACATTATGAGCTATACTGAGAAGACTTGTAGTAAAGTCAACGAGGAACTAAGCAAGAGCAGAAGCCGAATGTCTGAAGAAGGAAGGGTTGTTTCTTCTTCGTGGTCTCCTCCAGAGATAGGTTGGTGCAAAGTGAATGTGTGATGCAAGACAGGTGGGTGTGTTAGGCACTAGTGCTGTGCTACGAGACAAGGAAGGGGTGGTGTGTGCGTGTGGCACTTCCTAGTCCTACGACAGATGGGAGACATTAATTGCTGAGGCTAAGGAAGTGATGTTTAATTGGGTTGCAGCTAGCGAAGTATGCAGGGGTGGATCAATTGATGGTGGAAAGTGACTGTTTGCAGGTTGTTAATGCTCTTAGAAATAAGTCCAGTGGCTCTAGTGCTTTCTTTTTAGTTATAGATGATATTCTTGCCTTTTGTAATAGTTTTTCTAATATTAAGCGGTCTTTTGTGAGAAGAGGTGGGAACAAAATAGCCCATGAATTGGCTCATCTTCAACCTTGGGAGGTTGGCCAATGATCATGGAGTAGTGTTATCTCGCCCCGTGTATTGGAGCTTGCTTCGCTTGATTTAATTAATTAATCTCGCCCTTTGGGGTTTCTTCAAAAAAAAAAATTGACTTTCTTGATAAACTTTATAAATTTAATTATTTTAAGGATTTTTTGTCAAAAACTACCTAATAAAGCCCAAATTTTGTGAGAAACTACCTAATAAAAAAAATGTTGTAACAAACTACCTAATAAAAGGTTAAATGTTGTAAGAAACTACCTAACAAATTGTAAGATGTTGTAAAATACTACCTCTGTGGGAAATCCACCATTGACTCGCCTCAAAACACCCCCAAAACCACTGCTTTCACCCCAAAACCAACACAACCTACTTGAAATTGCCTCCACCACGCTGAAACCACCTTCCAACCCCAAAACCACCACCTATAACCCCAAAAACCAACATCTCGAATCACGAAACTACCCTCACCAACTCGAAATATCCTCTAATCACCCCGAAAACAACCTTACCACCTTGAAAATCAACCCCCGTGGTGGTTTTGGGGTGTTTTGAGGTGGGTCAACGTCATAAAATTAGGTTAATGGTGGAATATTCGGTTAAAGGTAGTATCTAACAACATTTTACCTTTTATTAGGTAGTTTCTTATAACAATTTTTCTATTTGGTAGTTTCTCACAAAATTTACATTTTATTACGTAGTTTTTGACAAAAAACCCTTATTTTAATATAAAAATCTCCAAAAAGTTTGAAAACTTTTTTCTCAAGTAAATTAGCTTGGCCAAGCTAATTTGCTTGGCCAAGCTAATTGTTATTTTATAGCTCCAATGGTCAAGCTAGTAGCTATAGACTTTTGAAAATTGCAAGCAAATCCCTAGTTACAACCATTGGAGTTGCTCTTAGGAGTGTGTAAAAGTACAAAAAATCTATAAAAGTACATTAAAGAAAAAAGTTATTATGATAAATATACAACAACATCTATTAACCTATACTAAAAGCAAATCCTTTCATGACACTTGTCATTACTTTGTAATTTTCCCGCCTTTTTTTTTCCAAAATCTTTAAGTAAATTATTTATACCGATATTTTCTTTTCAGTTTGAGAATCATATTCCATATATACCCAAATGAAATATTTCTGAATATCTTTTATATACTTTATATTTTGTAATATTATTGTCAAAGATATTTACAACCGTGCATTGTACGGGATTTTAACCTAGCTAATTAAAAAAAGGCAAAAAAACTAGGGAAAAAGTAAGAGAAAATACAAGTTTCTCAACATGAAAAACGCTACTAATATCTCAAGGGGGTATAATGGGCTTTTCCCTTGATAAGTTGAGGATACATTAGTCAATTCATATTACCATGTGCCAACTACCCAAATGGCGTGAATGTCGACGTTAATATCAGAAGTTCAGGAATCCTCAAATTTGTAGCAATGGAGGTCAAGAAATCTTCAATTCCCACTCTTCAATGAAGAAAATTAATGAAAGAGGGAAAGCTCATATGTCCTTTAGGGTTAACAATACCCTTAATTTATATATTTTTATATTAGGGTTTTCGTTGAAATCGACCGGAATCGGTAGTGTTTGGGTTGGAGTTTGTCGTGGTGTTGGGGTTTGAATAAAGAAGTGAGAAAGTGGTGGACTGGTGAGTGGTGAACCAGAAGACAAAAAAGATGAATAGAGGAGGAAGAAGATGGTGGCCTAATGAAGAAGATGGTGGCCTAATGAAGAAGGTGAAGGTGGGATGGAGTACTCACGCCGTGAACCCAATGCCACATCACCCACTATTGTAGATGTATTTATTAACTAAACTGCCACTAGAGAAACAACCTATGTTTCTCAATTGAGAAATTGGGGCTTTCTTAAAAAGTAAAGGTAATTTGTATGGAAATCCAAAAAAATAGGGGCAGTATAGTCATTTCAAGTAATTTAAAAATGAAAAGAAAAGAAATAGGAACAACATTTGAGACACCCAAAATTGAATGAGGAAACTGTACTATGCAACTAAAATGTTACTTTTTTTTCTTCTTAACACTAGTTATCAATAATTAAGTAGGAACTTATGTAATTTTAGATTCGAAACCAAAGCTGGTCAGGGTCGGGGTTGATTTGTAAACATTTTGAACGGAAACCATCGGATATTGGTTTCGATTCCAAATACATGTTTATATATACACTCCCCTATTCCTTAGGAGGCTGATTGAATATTAATATAGTATCATAACATTAATCTTTTTATTCGCACTTTCCACAACCCAAACCTCCCTTCCTCTTGTCCTCTCCCCCATATTAACGATATGGTTGTGAAATACTCGCCACCTAAGCCAACTATACCTCTTCACTCGAAAAAGTTTCAAACCTCAATATTTCACTCAACTCTTTTAACACTTTGTAGTTTGCATACAGTGTGTGGTCTAACTTCATTCTCCTTTTCTTAGATCCTTCATGGAGAAACACAAGCACCCTTCAAACTATTATCCTTGCTATGACCTTTTCCTTTCTTTCACTAGTGTTGATGGAGCTCGTTGTTTTTAAGTTTTCCTCTGATTAGTACAGTGTTGGCGCATGTAGTAAAACTGTTATTCTGATTTACCTATTGTTCTGAAATCTCCTATATATTTCTAATTAAATTTCGTTATTTAAAAAACTATGAAACTTCTATAGTTGGAAAGTACATATTAATACGAACGTAATGACATCTCATTTGATATGTTTTTATTTTACGGATTATTATATATTTTGGTAACTTTGACAATCAAATTAGTAGGATCAAATTAAAAAATTTCATACCATACTAGATGAGATCATGTGAATTGAACCTAAGTTAAATCTCAAGTCAGATTCGATCGGCTTTAGGTCGAATCGGGTCTCAATATCAATCGGTTTGATTGGGTTTAGAATGGTAGATTGTAGATAGATTCAACCGACCCGAAAAACCCCAACAACCCAAATCCCGACCCGTTTAAGTTCCACGGGTCTTCCACACTCATCACTCATCCAAAACAATTACCCGCTTCTCTTATCAATTTTCATACGAAGTATTTCTCTCTCCTTCTTTAGGGCTTTTATTTCTCTGAAAACCCTAGAATTCAAACCTAAAAATCCCCAAATTCACCTCTAAATCACCCCAATTTTCTCGCCGATCTTGCAAATTCAATCATGCCTAGAGGAGACGAATACGAAGACGACGAAGATTTGGAGCCAGAAGATGGTGATGAGTATGGCGAAGATCTGTACGAAGAAGAACCCGAGGATGAAGACGATGAAGACGAATATGGCGGCGGAAGAGGGGCTAAAGCAAGCGAAAAGAAGCGTCGGAGATCGGATTTTATCGATGATGTTGCGGAGGAAGACGATGATGAGGAGGAAGAAGACGATGATGTTTATGCTCGCGCGCGCCGCCATAAGAAGAGCCGTGGAGGTGGGTTTATTGATGATATTGCGGCGGAAGTTGATGATGAGGATGAAGAAGAGGAGGATGGAGAAGATGGTAAATTGTTTTTCTCTACTTTGTTCTTGATATTATGAATTAAGTTTCTTTTTTTTTTTTTTATTTGATGAATTGATTATGTTTTTTTTTTATTTATTAATTTTAGCTGAAATAGCTTGTTTAGTGGAAATTGGCTCTTGTTTGGAATTTTTATCTGATTGGTAGCTTTGAATTTTATTTGGCTTGCTTAAGTAGTGGGTTCTGATGATGCACTGATTTGGATTGAAATGGAGAAGTTAGGGTGAATTAAGCAAGACGTTTAGTGTTATCTGGGTGTCGATTATGCTCCGAAAAGTTGAGGATTAAATAGATTGATGCTGGTCGAGAGGCCTATTTTGGTGTGAGTAAATATGGAGTGATTTTTGTGTGAGCAATGACAATTTGAGTTTACTTTTCTGCATTTTTTGATCTGGTGTCATGGGTTTATTGTTCTTAGTTTGTTCGATTAAAAGATGATAAAGTAAGAGCTTTGGTTAAGTTTGATTAAATCCAGTGATCATTTTTGGTAATTTTCTGAATATGGCATCTTTGGAAGTTCATGATATGGTTTATGTGATCTTGGGCTCTTGGCCTCTTGGGTACTCATGTTTAACAAGAACAGTCTGTTCTTACCTTTACTTATGTACGATTAAGTTTAGCAAATCACATGTTTCCTTCTCTGTGCAAATAACTGCACCAGCATGAATTTTACAGTTCTGCGATGTAGTGTCCTTAAAGAACCTGCTTGGAGATATGATTTGCAAATAATCACTAGGATGATTCTATGGTATACGGAGTAATGGAGTATGGATCTTGTAACTAGATGTTTTTTTTGACGTGGTGGATCCCTATGCTCGCTTGGAAGATACGTAGTGGTTTAATTTTTTGCTTGATGCCATTCATTAACATTGATGACATATTTGCGATGATAGCTGATATCCTACTTTTATGAATCCTTTGTGTAATGTTACCTCGAAGCAGTCTCTTGCTGTCTGTGTTCAAGAGCAAATAGCATAGAAATAAGGTTAATTCTGAAGTACTAAATGGAGACTGGAGAAAATTTCTTGTTCCTCAATTGTATATGAGTGAGAAATAAGAATGGCATAGTATACTGCAGCAATGATTTTAATTGAAGTTATTCTTAATTTGACAATTTTAGAGTGCATCATTCTCAAGTTGACAAAGTTAGCATGTATCTCTAGCCCGAAGGAATGGTTACAGGATGCTATGTATTTCGAGAATATTACTAGTTGCAGTTCTCAAATCTTTGTAGTTAGAAGGAAACTAGAGATCAATTTCTGCCTACAATGACTCTTGGAAATGCTTAATGGTCTGCGTTTTTCCTGTGAAGATTTAATTTTATTGACTTTTGCCTAAGTTATTTCTTACTGCCTTATTTATTAGTGTTCAATAGCTAAGACTTGGCACACAGCATCATCTGTGTCTTACCTGACTGTTTGTCTCTGTGCATCCTTATATTTATATCAGTGTTCTCCTTGTGGTTTTCTTTTGAACATAATACCTAGTGTTCTCAAAT